TATTTTTCTTTCAGCCTTGCAAAGGGATACTGCTTTTTGGTCCCCCTGGAACTGGAAAACCCTTATTGCAAAGGCTCTGGCTACCGAATCTGGGGCCCAATTCATCAATGTTACTCTTTCATCCCTTACATCTAAGGTAGGAGAAGCAAGCAAGTAATTGCCTCGAAACAATTCTATCCTTTACTTGACTTATCCAACATAGTCGATTTTTTTCTTTTTTGCTTTTGGTGTAGTGGTACGGGGAAGAAGAACAACTTGTGAGGGCACTATTCTCCTTGGCTGTCGAGTTGACTCCTACAATTATTTTTGTGGATGAGGTGAGTGCTGTTGCATACTTGTTTTGTATTCCTGAACCAAATGAATTTGTACTCACTTCCGTGATGCATGGATTATAATCTAATAGATGATATAAAACCTGTATTTGATGCTTTTGTGGGCAGATTGATGCTTTGCTTGGTGCACGTGGTCAGCGTTCTGAGCATGAGGCAACCAGAAAACTTCGGAATGAGTTTATGTCAGCTTGGGATGGATTAACTTCAAATGACAGCCAAATAATACTTGTCCTTGGTGCTTCAAATAGGCCCTTTGACCTTGATGATGCTGTCATTCGCCGTATGCCAAGAAGGTACATTTTCTAGTACGAGTCAAATTGTACATTTGTTGTTTATGCAAGAAGGGTGCATGTATTTTCATAAATACGACACTGTGTGTGTGATTTTTTTCAAAGCCAGGGGATTGGAATCCCTTGGATAATGAGTTTTATTAGCTATGCTTTATGAAGAATATCAAATGGCAGATATTTGGAGATATTAAAGTTGGAATGTTAGGAAATTTTCCTTCTACTTACCTCTAGTCCTATTCTGGAAAGAATTCCCCTTTACGTGGAGGTAATGATTAGTGCATTGGAAAAAAATAATCAATTAATAATAATCAAGTTCCTAAAGGAAATTCAATGAGTGGAACCAAAACAATTTTCCACAAGCACTTTTTTTTTTCGTTTTAATTTGTTTTCATATTCTTATTTTCACTATCAAAAGATTGAAACTTGAGTCATTTGATAGGATTTTTTCCACAAATAGTGATTTTTTACACTCTAAAATTGCAATTTTTGGACAAATGTTAGTCCCCCTTTTTGATTGGTATTACCTTTTTGCAAGTTTCGGTCATCTTTTTGTTTAATTTCAGATTTCTGCATCTGATTCTTCTTGATCAAAGACCTGGTAACAATATTTCATCATAAGTTTTGTAAAGATTATGAATTAACTTATTTATGTAGGTAATTTCATATAAAATTGTACACAGATTTTTATTATAATATAAATTGTAGATAACCGAATGTTAGAAAAGGGGTTTGCCAGATAATGATTGCCTATTGAATAGAAAACTGGCATGGACAGTTTACTTGCAAGCCCTACTCTTGAAGCGAATGTTGGTGGATCATCATATGTGACATTTGAAACGTAGTTGAGATTTTTTTTCTCTTCTGCAGCTTTTTTTTTAAGTTTATTGACATGAATGTTGAGCCTGACAGAATATCCTTGATTGCTCGTAGGATTCATGTTGACCTACCAGATGTGAAAAATAGATTGAAAATACTGGAGATACTTCTAGCCAAAGAGGCTCTGGAATCTGGGTTTGATATTAAAAAACTCGCAGAGGCTACTGAAGGGTATTCCGGGAGCGACTTAAAGGTAAATGTTCATCGAGTTTGCATTAATGGCTATAGATCTTGTGATTCCTACTCATGTCTAAGATTTGTGATTCTTTGTCTTTTTATTTTTCTTTTAATTTTTCTCCAGAATCTGTGTGTGGCTGCTGCATATATACCTGTCCAAGAACTACTTGAACATGAAAGCAAGGTAAACACTATAATGATCTTCTTATCAGTATACTATAATGATCTTCTTATCACTATTCTAGTACTTTTAAGATTTTTTTTCTGTTAATGGATGATATATTGCGGTTGAAATTACGGAGTGTTCGTCTTTTGTTGCTTGATGACATATTTGATATCGATATTGGTGTTTAATATAGTTTATTATTGTTATATATGATCTTCCGACAAACATAAATGTGTGACAACTATGCATGCATAAAACATTAAAAACACAAATTTGCATTTTGCCCTCAGTACGTAACAACTGCATTTGTCTTTTGTTTGTAGTGTTGGACAAAAATTTTTGCCTTAAAACATATTTTGTGGTTATTATGGATTGACAGGGTGACAAGAAAGGTGGAACTCCGGCATTAAGACAACTGAAGCTAGACGACATATGTAAATTCATTTGAAACTATAGAAATTATAAAAGAAAAAAGCCCCGTATGCACGTGTTTGTTTGTTAAGTTAGGATAAAGCTATATCAGCCTAAACTTTAAGCACTTTATACACTTGACAACACAAATTATTTTTTTGAACAACTAATTTTTTATTAGTCGGGATAAACAGTCAGTTTATGTATCATACACGTGTATATATGTATAATTTTGCAGGTGGGGGCCTCGGTTGCGTATGAATC